GTTTTGATACAATCGACATTTGTATGCTAGCTATATTGGTCTTGTATTGATAAAACCGACATTTGTATGCTAGCTATATTGGTTTTGTATTGATAAAACTGACATTTGTATGCTAGCTATATTGGTTTTGTTTTGATACAACTGACATTTCTATACTAGCTATATTGGTTTTGTTTTGATACAGTTGACATTTGTATGCTAGCTATATTGGTTTTGTTTTGATACAGTCAACATTTGTATGCTAGCTATATTGGTCTTGTTTTGATACAGTCGACATTTGTATGCTAGCTATATTGGTTTTGTTTTGATACAACCGACATTTGTATGCTAGCTATATTGGTCTTGTTTTGATACAACCGACATTTGTATGCTAGCTATATTGGTTTTGTTTTGATACAAATGACATTTCTATACTAGCTATATTGGTTTTGTTTTGATACAGTTGACATTTGTATGCTAGCTATATTGGTTTTGTTTTGATACAGTCGACATTTGTATGCTAGCTATATTGGTTTTGTTTTGATACAACCAACATTTCTATACTAGCTATGTTGGTTTTGTTTTGATACAACTGGCATTTCTATACAGCTATATTGGTTTTGTTTTGATACAACTGACACTTGTATACTAGCTATGTTGTTACAACTGACATTTATGTACTGGCTGTATTGGTACAACTGTCATGTGTATGTTAGCTGTATCAGTTTTGTATCGGTACATAATGTCACTTTTGTTTTTGCTGTATTGGTTGTGTATACTAGCTATATTGGTTTGATATTGGTACAAATGACATTTGTATGCTAACTGTGTTAGTTTTGTATTGGTACAACTGACATTTGTATGCTAACTGTGTTAGTTTTGTATTGGTACAACTGACATTTGTATGCTAACTGTGTTAGTTTTGTATTGTTACAACTGTCACTTGTATGATAGTTGTATTGGTATACAATGTCACCTGTGTGTCATCTGTATTAGTACACAATGTTACTTGTGTGATAGCTGTACTGGTTTTTTATTGATACAAAATGTTAGTTGTGTGATAGCTGTATTGGTATACAATGTCCCCTGTGTGTCATCTGTATTGGTTGTGTATTGGTACACAATGCTACTTGTGTGCTAGCTGTACTGGTTTTGTATTGGTTCAACTATCACTTGTGTGATAGCTGTACTGGTTTTGTATTGGTTCAACTATCACTTGTGTGATAGCTGTACTGGTTTTGTATTGGTTCAACTATCACTTGTGTGATAGCTGTACTGGTTTTGTATTGATACAAAATGTTAGTTGTGTGATAGCTGTATAGAATGTGTATTGGTACAGAATGTTACTTGTGTACTAGCTGTGTATTGGTACAGAATGTTACTTGTGTATTAGCTGTGTATTGGTACAGAATGTTGCTTGTGTTCTAGCTGTGTATTGGTACAGAATGTTACTTGTGTACTAGTTGTATTGGTTCAACTGTCGTTTGTTTGCTAGCTGTATTCATTTTGTATAGATACAACTGTCACACATATGCTAGCTGTATTGGTTTGGTATTAATACAACTGACATTTGTATACTAGCTGTATTGGTTTAATATTGGTACAACTGTCATGTGTATGCTAGCTGTATTGGTTTTGTATTGGTACACAATGTAGCTTGTGTGCTAGCTGTGTTGGTTTTGTATTGATACAACTATCACTTATATGCTAGCTGTAGTTGTTTTTGGAAACATAAATTTTGCTTAATTGATTAGTTTCATGAGTCAAGACACTAATCAATTAAACTGAACAAACATGAAATAATTTATAATAATGTTATGTCTCCGTTTGTTAATTAACTTTCCTTAACTTCGTTCCGACGAAACTTAAGCGACACAAGTTCTTTCTTAATAAAACTGGTTTATTTATTCCGAATATAACTCTGCAATACACTTAATCTCAATAATCGCGCTAAAACAACACTGTAACGAACGAACGTTAACAATACTTCTGACCGCAGATCAATTACTCACTATCTACCCAGACACGTTACATTCCCCTCTTATATATATCCGCCTACCCTATATCTAGT